AACATTAGAGTTCCATACAAATTCCTCTAAACGATCCAAACGTTCAGTCAAGTCTGTTAAGAGTTGTTCAATTCGGTTGAGTTTTCTGTCCATAGTCATATTCCTGTTAAATTCAGGAGTTTGTTTATTACCCTTAGTTACATCTGCGTATGTTTTGTTTCCTACTTGTTTATTAATTGCAGCAAAGTATTTGGGATTGTGTTTTTTGTAGATTCCTCCGAATTTTGATAATCTTTCATTATTTTTCTGGCGAAATTCATTATCTCTAATCGTACGGGGGCACGATGCTACAAGGTGTTCATTTGAATGACAACGGTGGCAAGTTTTGGTTTCTATGTCAATGATTTTAACATCAAAGTTTCCTTTCTCCCATACGGCTTTCAAAGCATTATTTTTTTCCTCTTCAGATGCAAATGAAATGATTGCTTCACCCCTACGTCTATAGTTTCTTGTTCTCGAAAAATAACATGTTTTGGCTCCCAGGTGTGCAATGTGTGGTATAAGTTCTCTTGCTGTAATACCAACTGGCAGATTAATTACTCGTGCTGCGTATATGCCACGTGACTTTAGATTATCAAAAGTTTGATCAATTGGTGTGACCCTCAACGAATCATCACCAATAATAATGCTCCAGTTTTCAAGAAGTTTTTTTGCATCTTCAACTGTTTTGAAAATGACTATGGCAGATTGCCACATGTTGTTAACTCTCAAATTCATATGCTCAATGGGCCCATAGAGGTTACCTAATTCAGTTTCAAGCTCTTTGTAGCGCATACCAAGTGGAATGTCCCACAATTTTACTCCATGCATGTTCTCTTTCAAGGGATTCCTTTTAAAGATTTGTGCGTGATGCATGTAAGTGGGCTGTTCTTTGTTTTCCCAACATTAATTTTTTGTGCAGTGGACATTTTTTCTTTGTCATTGAAGAAAACAGTAATCATACGTTCCTTTCTGTGAATTTCTGACATGACCTTAACAAATTCTGTCTCTTTTCTCATAATTTTTTTGATATATTCAATTTTTTCGCCGAGGGTTTTACCCGGTATTTTATTAGCAAACGTTCAGATTTTGTATTTTTTTGCTCCAAAAATACTACACCATTTGGAATTGTTGCTGGTTTCAGAGGTAAAGGATGTAACTGATTCAATTTCGTCTTTGTCATCAATGTTTTCTTCATGTTCAAATAATTTTTTTTGTTGATTATTCTTACGCGGACTTTTTTTTTTATGTACTTCTTGTTACCCAGAAGTATCATCTTCAGTAGAATCAGTTTCTTGGATTAAGCGCGTATCTTCAGAATTATTTTCAGCATCTATAGTCATTTGTTGGTCTTTCAGTTTATTATTTTCAGCTTCGAGATTAGCTTCTTGTTGTACTTCTTTGTTCTTTCCTTTATCGTTAGCTTTTGACAGAATAAAGACATCAGGGTCATTAGTAGCCTTAACACTATTTTTTCGCTTATTTTCAGTTAGATTGAGTCTTGGGTTTCCAGAAACATGTTTTTTAATAAGTGTGGAGTATTTAACTCCTTCCCTTCTTGGTCTTGAATTTGAGCGTTCACTCATATTCACCACACACTACAAATGGTGTTGGTAAATAAGGAAACTTAATTCTTTTACAACAAGTATACAATCTACTCATTTATATATTTATTTATTATTTTCTAAAAAAACAAAAGGTATATTTTTTTTTTCATTATTGACCAATTGAGTTTTATAAATTTTTATTATATCTTCAAAACTTTTAATTAATTATAATTTTTATTAATTTAAAATAAAATAAAAATATTAATATGAAAAGTATAATAAATAATGTTAATTATATTTTTAAATATTTTTTTTATTATTTTAATTGGAAAAGGAAAATAATTATCTTGTACTATTTTATTAAGCACATAAATTTCATAACCATATAATTTGCTTTGGAAAAAATTATTAATTTTTTTTCACCCTTATATTTATTTGCAAAAAATCTAAATTATAATTCTTTAATAATTTCTTGTATTGTAATTTTAGCAAATTTGTTACCAGGTAAAATTTTTTCTTAAAAATAATTAAGTATATTTGAAGTATTTATCAAAATTATTTTTTTCAGTATAAGTTATAATCAGGCTCATATAAAATAGTTACAATCGATAAACTCGTAAAATTAGGTTTCAAAAAAATTGTTAAAATAGCTAATTTGTATTTTTTGAATAATCTATATTTCCTTAATAAATCTATCTATTGAGAAAAAGTATCAAACATTTGATCTTTTTTAGTACAATATACTTGTGCTTTTACTTATTTTGTATTATAAAAAAGTATGTCTTCAAAATATTTATTTAAAGTTGAAAAAAAATATATCTTTTTTTCCTTGAGATTTGGTCTTATATATATAAGTTCATGTAAAACTTCTTTTTTTTTTTTTTTTAAAGAAATATTATTTTCCTAAATAATTATTTTATACTTAGAAAATTATAATTTTATTAGTAAAAATTTTAAAAAAAAAATTTTCTTTATCATTTTGAATATAAAATATATTTTTCTTATAAATTTGAAATATTAAAATTGCTGATTCAAGTTTTTGCAAGAACGAAAAATAAAACACATCTGAAAATTGTGTTTACGAATTCTTGAAGATTATATTTTTTATATATAATTATTATTAATTTATAATTTTTTTAAATATATCATTTATAATTTTTTTAAAATTGGATAAAAATTTTTTTTATATAGTAATATATAGAATATTCATTAGAATCACTTTCATTACTTTCATAAGTAGAATCATTATTATCTTTCTTGAAAATAAATTTGCCAGTATTTACATCATGATTTATTTTTCATTTTTTTTGATGTTATTAAAGATTTTTTTAAAGGCACGAGTTTTCAAATTCAAAAAAAATATCATGAGAAACTATTTTTTAAATAAATTTACTATTTTAATATATTCTCAAATTAATGGCTATAGTAAATTTGTGTGACTTTAACTTGATATAGCATGATCAATTTCAATTAAAATAAAATTTTAACCAATAGATCTTAAAGCCTAGACTCTGGGCTATCGATTTAACAGTTTAGATTTTTATTTCTATATTTAGAAAAAAAAGTTTTTATGTAAAAAGGGTAGCCAATTTTTACTATAACCAAGTTCCTATTATAGAGGTTCTGCACTGTATAATATTTTAATAGTAATAGTAAATTGTTTATTTATTAATAAACAACTAATAAATTTCTATGTAATATGGAACTGATCTTGTTTATTTATTAATAGATGATTAATAAATTACCATGTAATACAGAACTGATCTTGTTTATTTATTTTGTTTATTTATCTGAGACATTTTTTTATACTTTATCTACTTCACTCATGATTAATAATTTTCTTTGAACATTTTCAAAGTTTGTGCATATTTAAAATATACTTTATTTAAAAAAAAAAAAATAATAATAATCAACAAGAAAAATTATTTGAACATGAAGAAAACATTGATGACAAAGACGAAATTAAATCGGTTACATCCTTTACCTCTGAAACTAGCAACAATCTCGAATGGCATAGTATTTTTGGAGCAAAAAAATACAAAATCTGGACGTTTGCTAATAAAATACCGGGTAAAACCCTTGGCGAAAAAATTGAATATATCAAAGAAATTATGAGAAAAGAGACGGAATTTGTTAAGGTCATGTCAGAAATTCACAGAAAGGAACGTATGATTACTGTTTTCTTCAATGACAAAGAAAAAAT